TAATTATTACTCTAGAGAATCTCTTTTTTCAGATTCTTCTAAAATTAAATCGTTATATCGTTCTTCTTAAACTTTTAATTACTCTATGTATTATTCATTGCTATCTGTATCTTTAGTATAAATGCTCTATGTAAATGTTACAAATAAGGGATCTGAATGATGATTATTAATAGATCTAATCTAACCATAAGTCCCAGATATTGTTTACATTTATGAACCTCCCATTTAAGATTTAGATGGTTAAAATGTTTAAGGTTTCAATAATAAGCTTAATTCTTTATTTTTACTTCTATTCATTTCTAACAGTTTATCTAATTCTGCTTTAAACTTAAAATCATTGCTTGAAACAATTGATAAATTATCATATTTTTTTATTTCTTCCAAATGTTCAAATTCTTATTTTAATAATTCCTTCTTTTATTTTAGATTCTATTGATCTTTTAATGTTTAATCGTCTTCCAATTTCTGAAACTTCATTTAATAATTTTATTTATAAAACTTATATATATATTTTGATCATAACTTCATATTCATAATTTAATGATTAAGTATTCACATTAATAACTGTCAAATAAAGCATAATTAAACAATAATAATTTGATGGCATTTAATTGAAATTATTAAAATAATTCTAATTTAATCTTATGTTTTTCATTATCTATTTGTAAAAACAGATTTTGTAAAAAAATCTTATTTGATTAGATAATCAACTATAAGAAGATGAATAACTAATTTACTAATTTGTTTTAGCTATTTGTGACTAATATTTTCGAAGTAAATAATTAATATGAGTTAATTTTTATTAGATAATTGAGTTTATTGTATTATTAGATCTATTTCTTATAGTTTATTTTGATATATCATAAATGATCAATCTATTTAATATTCTCTTAATTATTCATTTATATTATTTATTCTTTGTCTATTAATTTTATTTATCATAATCCATTATTTCTATTTCCAAATAGAGCTTTTTTATTATTTATTATTATTAATCTCATTATAAATATCTGAAAATATTTATTTTTATCAATCTGTGTTAAAGTAATTCCAAAAAGACAATTTCTTTTGTGATAATCAATAAACTTTCATTTAGATTTAATAATAAAGAATTATTTTTTCTTTATATATATAAATTTAATTTGTATTAATTCAATGGATGATTCATGTACAAAATGCATGACAATTTCAGCATTGATTGAAATGTTTACATCAATTACACTTACTACTCTTACCTTTTATTTCCAGCCTCACTTAATTTTAGATACCAAATTAGCAATCCTTCTAATTTATTATGGATACTTAGTCATTAATTTATTAATATTGACAATCCTCTTAGAAATTATATTAATATTAGTAACTATTCCATTTATTGGATTCAATCAATCCCTAAGAGTTTTAGCATTTTCTTAATCCAGTAATTATATTCACTATTAATGAAGGCAGTTTTTGTGTATTCTTATAGATGCTCGTATTATATTTATCCAATTTTATATTGCGTATTTTTCCATAAAGGCATAATATTATTGCATTTCAAATTTGCTTGGTCAATTATTGAAAATTTTGATGCAATTTATTAATATTGCTGGAGATTTTCCTTTACGGTTCAACCTGAAGAATAATAAATATTATAATAAATTAAAAGAGATGTATACCAAAGATACCATTAATATGTTTGAAACAAAAGAATTGATTATCAATATTATAATTTAAATTATCACCTCTATATATTTTTAGTTCTTTGATTATTNAATTTTATTTATAAAACTTATATATATATTTTGATCATAACTTCATATTCATAATTTAATGATTAAGTATTCACATTAATAACTGTCAAATAAAGCATAATTAAACAATAATAATTTGATGGCATTTAATTGAAATTATTAAAATAATTCTAATTTAATCTTATGTTTTTCATTATCTATTTGTAAAAACAGATTTTGTAAAAAAATCTTATTTGATTAGATAATCAACTATAAGAAGATGAATAACTAATTTACTAATTTGTTTTAGCTATTTGTGACTAATATTTTCGAAGTAAATAATTAATATGAGTTAATTTTTATTAGATAATTGAGTTTATTGTATTATTAGATCTATTTCTTATAGTTTATTTTGATATATCATAAATGATCAATCTATTTAATATTCTCTTAATTATTCATTTATATTATTTATTCTTTGTCTATTAATTTTATTTATCATAATCCATTATTTCTATTTCCAAATAGAGCTTTTTTATTATTTATTATTATTAATCTCATTATAAATATCTGAAAATATTTATTTTTATCAATCTGTGTTAAAGTAATTCCAAAAAGACAATTTCTTTTGTGATAATCAATAAACTTTCATTTAGATTTAATAATAAAGAATTATTTTTTCTTTATATATATAAATTTAATTTGTATTAATTCAATGGATGATTCATGTACAAAATGCATGACAATTTCAGCATTGATTGAAATGTTTACATCAATTACACTTACTACTCTTACCTTTTATTTCCAGCCTCACTTAATTTTAGATACCAAATTAGCAATCCTTCTAATTTATTATGGATACTTAGTCATTAATTTATTAATATTGACAATCCTCTTAGAAATTATATTAATATTAGTAACTATTCCATTTATTGGATTCAATCAATCCCTAAGAGTTTTAGCATTTTCTTAATCCAGTAATTATATTCACTATTAATGAAGGCAGTTTTTGTGTATTCTTATAGATGCTCGTATTATATTTATCCAATTTTATATTGCGTATTTTTCCATAAAGGCATAATATTATTGCATTTCAAATTTGCTTGGTCAATTATTGAAAATTTTGATGCAATTTATTAATATTGCTGGAGATTTTCCTTTACGGTTCAACCTGAAGAATAATAAATATTATAATAAATTAAAAGAGATGTATACCAAAGATACCATTAATATGTTTGAAACAAAAGAATTGATTATCAATATTATAATTTAAATTATCACCTCTATATATTTTTAGTTCTTTGATTATTATTCAAATCAACAAAATAAAACTATATATACTACCTATATAAATTATAAATGGAATGATCTCAAAAGATAAGAATTTTATTAATTTCTAATATAATACAATGAGAAAACTCAATATTCTTCATCTATTTACTTTTAGACTAACATAATTGATGGTTATTTTTTATTTTATATATCAAATTATTCGATCTATTTTTAATGATGTTCTAATATTGTTTGATGATATTCGAATTAATAAAACTAGAGTTTATGTTTCAGTATTTCCTATTATTTTTCTAAATATTTTATCAATCTGTCTTTTTCATTTATAATCATTTCGAAATCTAATTCTGGTTGACAATTTTCAAAGCTGTTTTATTGAGTTCTTATTTCTTAATGAGACATTAAATTTAATATTAAAATAATATATTATATTAATACAAATATATAAAATAATCTTAGAATCTATTTTTCTAATGTAAATACTCAAATCATACTTATTATGTTTAAATGCAATGATTATATGATTAAGATGACAATCTAAAATTTATAAACCATCCTACATCAATAAATATATCAATTTCATCTATTATTATTATACCAATCACCATTCTCATCACCTATGATAATTTAAAAATTTTATATCTAATAAATTCTCTTGAACTATTTCTTAATTATAAATACTAAATCTAATTAAAAAATCACTGATCTTTCATTATAATATATTATTATAATAGAACATTTGAAGATAAACAAATAAAATAACAATATATGTTATTCATTTGGATTTGATTGTTATTTCAATGATATCTACTTTAATTTGATAAAAAAAATAAAAATTTTTCTTATTCAAATTACTGATTTACTTTTTTAGAACAAATAGTTTAAGTATTAGTCATAACTTTATATGAATAACAGATTAATTATTCATCCTTATTGAGATTATTTCTCAATTTTTTAATCATATTCAACCATTTATACTTCACAAATCTCTAGAATTTATGTTCAAAATTTGTTCCAAAATATTTCATTACATTATAAGATAGAACTTTTAAAGTAATTATTTGAAAAATAAACAAAAAAATGGTTACAGACTTTATTAAAGAGTTTAAATATGACATATATGTAAATAAAAATTCCATTATTAAGAATTACGTAATAATTAATGAACAATTGGTTTCTATTTGATTTATTATACATAATTTTTTCAATAAGAATAAATTTATTACATTTATTTTTAGAATTGTATATTAATTTTATCACATATATGTATATTGCTCTTATATTCTAAACTTGTCTATTATGTATTCATGTATTTAATTAAGCTCAACTGATATTAAATTTAATTATGAAAAATAAAAACAGTGAAAAGTATGTATGTATATTTACAAATAATAATAATAATGAGCTATGATGCTTCTATAATAATTAATAAATCAAGCTTCGCTTCCATGGAGTTTTTATCTTCTTCTTCTTATGTCAGAAACATCATATTTGAAAAATCCTTGACTAACTTCACATTCGATCATCTTCTCTCTAAATTTATCACCTAATGTAATTATATGCTTTTATACAGATGATAACATCTCCATAATTTTATTTCAAGCAATCATGATACTCTGTATACACAGGACCACATGGAGTTAAAAATTTTCTATCAACCTCATCTTTACCAATCACAATGTCATCTTTTGTTATTTATCCAAATTTTCTAAGTATATCTAAAGAAATTACATGAGTTTTTGTGCCTTTTTTAAATTATCCATGAATTAATTTTAATAATGAATGTATCTTTAAAAAGAAATAAAAATTGGATATAAACCTTTTTATTATAATATAATCTTTTTATATTATAACAAATTTTATATAAATTATTTCCAAATATATTTTTTTTGAAGTTAAAATGAGTATTTCAATAGTATTCACATATAAATGTGTGTGTGATTTTTATAATAACCTTATTAATTAATATATAAAAATCAAAATTGATTTAATCAAATGTTTTCAATTATTTTTAAATTTGTTCTCTTTCCAAATATCTAATAGTTGTTTTACACTTTTGTTTTCTAAATTTTAATAAATTTCTTTTTCCTAAGTATAATTAGAATTAGAAATATATCGAAATACTCCCATATGAATACAAGTCATTAAATTATGGAATGTTTCTCCATTACTTTCAGTATTTTTAAAAATAGGATCTAAACTTCCATATTATAAGACTTCAAAAATGTATTTAGAACAAATAAACATAATAGAGACAATCTTTTCTTTGTCGAATTTACCAATTTAAAATAAATCATCTCTAAATGATGTAACACAAGATAAAGTATATAATAATTAGAATAAGTTAATTTTATTATTTGAGATCTCTTAAGATTTTCTTTTTGATAGTTTTTCTAATTGGAATATTAAATAGAAAATTGAGTATAGTAAGTTACAATGATCTTCATTTGCATCATCATATAACACTTGGCCTACTTTAATAATATTTTATTTTTATGTCTAATAAAGAGATTATTTAGTATTCACAGAAAAAAAGCAGCATTTTGTTGTTGTCCTCTTTTTAATGTAAGGATGAGCTATATCTTATAAATGATATTTTAATAAGAATTCCCCAAAAGGCTTTATCTAACTAAAATTCAAATATATCATACCAAGCAATGTATAGATGGTCTCCTTTGACTTTTTTAGGTTTCATAATAGGTGACTCTTATTCAGGTTCTAAATATTGATTATCAATATTGTAATTATCTTCATTAAATTTAATTAATTTCTAATATTCATCTTCTTTTATTTTTTTTTGTTTTGTTTATACATCTTTTTCTTATAATTATTATATTTCTTATAAGTTCTGATTATCCCTCATTTACTATTCTTATTCAACAGGGTCATCATTTATATCTTGTTTTTAATACCGATTATTGATCTTATAGTTTTGCTCTTTTTTTATTTTACCAAAAGTGGGTTAATTAAATTCACATTAGAATTATTACTAGAATTGAGATTGTTATCCAGTTTAGGCCATGGTACTGCCTGTGCCGATTCTATCTAATATATATTTTTTCTCATCCTAATTTTTCATTTATGAAAAAAGTATTTATTAATTTTTTTTGATTTTGCAGGAAAATCAATACAATAAAATTATAATATATTTAAGATTGCTTTTTTAAAGAATCAATAAAAATTAAAACATTGTCATACTGAAATTATTATTGAAATATTGTTTTCTAAAAAAATATACTATTAATAGTAATTATTGATTAAATAAATTATATTAAACTTAATGAAGAGAAATTAATAAATAATAAAAGATTATCTAATATAAATGGGAAATTATCTATTTAATAAATAATCTAATATATTTATAATGCAATATAAAAAAATAACTTATTAATAGATCATACTATATACAATAGTTATTCATGTTCATTATTTCTAATTAATATTACTAAAAGTATGAATGCATCTTTATGCAAAATGTGGATCAGTACTCTTTAATTTAATATTTTATTTTTGTTTAGCTTTATGATATCTCTCACTTGCATTCAATAATTATTTTGTCAAATCTGTTCTTTCAGCTCTTTCTTATTCATCCTCTCTTTCTTCTGTAATCTATTTTAATTGAGCCTTACTACATTATCAATTTTATTACTTTCTTTTTGTAATAATATATGGTAAACCACATGGATGAATGGATAATCTTTTACATCCAACACGAGAACTTAATAAAAATGCATTTTATTTATTTAATTCTAGAAAAAGAAGAAAAACATCATGATTATTTTTTTCTTTACATTCCTAAAAAAAGAAATATAATTAATTCATTGTTTCTTGATCTAAGGATATTAGAATCTTTTAATCTAAAGTAACATATATAGTATAAATTAAGTAAAACAATGACAACTATTCAAAGTATAAAGGAGATTCAATCAATTTATTTAGTATTATTCCATATAATAGATTGTAATAATCATCCTAAGATTCCCATTCTAATTGACATTAATGGATAAAATGAATATCATTTTCCATCCAACATTTATTAAAATGTTAATAAGTTAAAATTTCAATATTTTTTTCTCTCATATAAGCTAAAACATTTCCTATAAAATTTATGATATCTTATTTGAAGTACTTCTCTCGATCTTCTAATAAACCATCATGATAAAAACAAAAATTATTCATGTTATTTAAATTATTTCTTTCTCTGAAAATATATTTATATATATATATATATATTTAAATATAAAATATAGTTTATCTTTTGTATATCTGTATTTTATTAAAACATTAATAATTACAGATTATAAATTCATTTTTAAATTGATAACCTAAGTATTTTTTAATTCCTTTTATTGAAATGATAAATAAAAATTATACACCAAAGTAATTATCATTAATAAGATTAAATGCAAATTAAATGAGAAAAAAATATAGAAACATCAAGAGTAATGACATAGAATCCTCCAAAAACTCTAAATTTAGATTGTGAATAGTTATACTTCTTTATCTATAATCAATCACTTAAAAAAGAAAGTCTTTAATATTTTTCTTTAATATAATAGATATTGTTTATTTCAAGAATTATGGAACCTTGAATAAAAAATATAGCTTTTAAACAACAGATTATAGTAGAAGCTATTTAATTATCAAATTTAAGACTGAACTAGGATAACATCTAAATTTTTGTAATTTTTCACCTTCCCTCTTTATATTTTTATATAAAATTTATCATTTTAGATGAAAAATATCATCTCAATTAAGCCACTTTGACTTTTTGCAATAATCTTTGTATTTTGTTAATTAACTTGTTGTTGATTTTTAAGTAATAATGATTAAATTAATTGATACTTCCATTAAATAATTATAATTTACCTAATCCATAAATTCTTTGTCTAAATATTTTATATTTTAGATATATCTAAAGTTCAATAAACACTCTATCAGCTTAAATTAAAAAAAAACGATGGATATTGATTTTCCATATTTCTTACAGTTATAAATTCTTCTGATAGGTATTATTTAATAAAAGAACAATCAAGTCTTAATTTAATATAACCTTTTGTTAAATTAATTTAGCTTTCATTCTCTTAAAATTATAGAAAAGTATCAACCTAAAAGTATAATTATTATATAATTAATAAATGAATATTAAAAATAATATCATCATCAAAAAAATAAACAAAAAGCATTTTAATTTAGTTATTAGTTGAGTATAAGAAAATAAAGTTAATAGCTATCCTTCTTAAGAAACAAAAACAAAATTATAAAGTTAAAAAATGATTGCTGCCTTCATATATTAAAATTATTTTATAGCAATTGCAAACATTATAAATAATTGTAGAATTAACTTAATGTACTTTTAAATCCATAACATCAATCTGTGTGTTGTGATCCTTTTGTTGCACCAACTCCTGGCTTACCATGTCTGGTTGGCTTATATGTTAATGAGAATTCACCCAAATATCTAATAGATGCTATTGCAAATAAATACCTGCCAATCATATCAAACTTGATTTCAACATTACTGAATTATCTTCCATTGTAGACTCCAACAATTGAACCAACCATTTCAGGGACAACAATTGTATTTCTTTAATGAGTCTTAACAGGTTTTGGCTTTTCTCCTGGTAATGTTTCTTTCTTGGACTTTCTGATCTAAATATATTGATTTTATTATTTACCTTCTTCATTAAGTTTTAGAAAGCATGCACCTTTTCTCCTTGATTTGAGATTCTTCTTCTTTATCTGGCTCTGAATTATTCCACCAATTTATCCATAGGAAGTTTTACTAGCTCTTCAAGTTAGAGACCTCTATAAGTAAACTTCTTAACTCCCTTGAATTGTTTGTCTTGGGTTTATTCAGCCATAATTTGAAAAATGAAAATTAAAGATTTTAATATGTTCTAAAATACAAAACATTTAAGAAAAGTATTATTTTCATCAGCTATTCAAAATGGCTAACAAATCTAGGATTTTGCAAGTATTGATCCAGCAACATTGATTAAAATGGGACTAAGATAAAATTCACTTGAAATATTTAATAGTCTTAGAGATCGATTAAATTTTTGTAAATATGAAATGATTACTGATTACAAAAATCTAATGATTTATGTTTAGAGATCTCATATTAATCAATTTATAGATAGATAATCATATGATCGTGTTATAGCTAATCAATTTAGTGAGAATTTAATAAATAGTCACATGATTTGGTTATCATATATAATAATGGAAGAAAAGGATTATATGTAACCCTTAAGAAACTTAGAATCAGTTTGGTATAAAAATGTTTTATATTTAAACATCAAATAAATATATGCTGTACTTACATTTTATCAAAAATTCAATTTATATATTTCTGAAAGAACTCTATATTAAATGCTTAAAATAATCCATAAACATTAATAAAATTATCTTAATGAAATCCATATACTTTATCATTGTTTATAAATAATTGAAAATTAATCAACTATGTTAAAAAATGATCCATTATTTTTAGACATTTAAAATAACATTTCTTCAAAAATTAAAGAAACCTATTCTCAAGGAAAAATAATGGAAAATACTAATTTCTTTCTTATTCATCCCTTAGATGATTTATCAATTATTAAAGAAAGTTTAAAAACATAAACTTATTAATTGACATCATAATAAATGAAATATATCTTAACTATCATTCAAAATACTTTGTATAATAATCCATCTTATAGCTAAACTGAATTAAAAGACATCATTACTAAATTATAATAATTATTCTCTTAAAATAATACATTGTCAAATAGATTTTAATTCTCTTTGCTATAAAGATTGCTTGATTTAGAAACAGATTTATCAAAATTTGATCCATAAGTGGATTATTTAAAAATTAATGACTTATATTATTTATTTAAGACTAGATTGTTAATAAAAAATGATGAAAAATTATCAGATGAATTAAAACATTATATTTTTAAGTTTCTTTTAAAAACTATGTAAAATAGGAAGATATATTGTGTAGATTTTGATCATTTCTATTCTATCACTAAAATGATAGAATAAAATTAAGAGTATAGCATGTTGCTTAAGCCTTATAGAGAATATTTGGGAGTCTATAGTTTTTTATATTGAATTATTTTTGTGTAATTTTAAAGATATTTAATAATAAAATTTATTAATATTATTGTTTTTTTTGAAAATAAATTGTTCTCAGATCATATAATCTTATTAAATGATCCTATATTAATATATTATTCTTAATTTGATTATTAAATTATAAAAAAATATTTTAAAATGAAAACTTAAAATTTTCAAAACAAAATTTTCATATATATTTCATTGATGGATATATTATTAAAGTTTTTATTCCCTTTATTTTTGTGATTTTTATACAACCATTAAAGGTTCTGTTGACATATATCTTTCAAAAGGATGGTACTACTATTAATTGATTTACTATTAATTTGGCTTTTATGGATTCATCAATGTTGTGTTTTTAAAGATTGGCTGCTTTTCTATCTTTTTTTCAATTTAATGTTGTAATTCATAATCTTATAATGACTATTTCATGACTTTATATAGTCATTTATATATACTTGAAACTGTGTCCTCAATTCCTCCTAATACATTTACTGTTTTTTTAATGTTGGTTATAAAATCATTATCCAAACCATTAGGAGTTTAATTTATTTACATTTATAAGTCCATTTATTATTGATTATTCAAAACACTTGCTTAAATAGCTGCTGGATTCTACAATTATTGTTAATGTAATTAATTTTAGTTTTAAATAGTTGATTATAAGAAAGATATTTAATTAGGTTACTGATTTTAGGCTTTTTAAATGATATTTGATTCATGTTTTGAATTAGCATTTTAATCTAGATAATTGTATGGCAATCTTAAAAATATTTATGCAGCTTATTCTTCTGGTTTTGGAGGAGGAGGAGGAGGTAAAACATAAGCAGGCACACGAGCTTATCTTAAAATAGATTGATATTCCCCAAAAATGGATCCATCTGCAATAAATTATGTTTTTAATTGTTTTTCCATTTCTGAACCATTTTAATGTAATTAAATCTTTTAAGTATCTTTCTTATAATTTTATGATAATTGTGAAGGAGTTGGATAAAAATTTGTTTATGCAAAACTAATATCAATTATTTTTAATATAATTACTTTTCATCATACTATTTTATTTTTTCCATCATAAATTCTTTAGCTTTTGGATCTTTCAAATCTATATTCGAAAGCTCTTAGCAAAATTATTAAACAGAAGACATGATTTAAAAATTTAATAAAATTTATTATTAATAACATTTAACAGATTGTATTAATGAAATGGATCATTATAATTGTTATTATAAATATATATTAATTGATAATGTATCTTATAGGATTTTTAATATACATAAACAAATGACTTTTATATTTAATGAAAATTTTCTTATCTATTTAATTAATTCAATATAAATAAAACAACTTAAACAATCTTCATCTATTTATGTATGTAAATTATAATTATATACTTATGATTTAAAATATATTTAAGATTATAATTCATTATATTCCTAAAAATAAATTATGAGTTACATAATGAGATCGATTTGCATATATATCTTATATAATTTATAAATAAAATTGAACTCCTTTAATCAATTATGTAATACTATGTATAAATGGTCGATTATATTATCAAAAAAATGTCGATACTATAATTGATCTAAATAATTAGCATAGTTTGTAACCAATTCAAACAAAAAATCAAAGCAGAAGCAAGTCGAGATATTTAACTTTAAAATTCTTAATTGTAGAGAATAATCTAATTACTAAAGAGCTTAGAATAAGATTTAGACTGTATCCAAAAACTTCAAGTCTTTAAAACTATAGTACAAGAACAAATAGGTTAAACTCCAATATCTTCTCATACAGAAAATTGTTTAAGTAACTATAGATATGACACAATTAAAAATCCTGAATCAATTAAAAGAAAGGAGAACCTTCAGAAAAAAAAGATGAAAAGAAATGATAGTACATAGAATCTTATGAAAAGAAGAAAACTATTCAAAAGAAAATAAGTGAGAATATGATAAAATTAAATACAAAAAATGAATCGTATCTATGTATTTATTATATTGTTTTTGAATTTAAAATAGATTCTAATCATAATAATTAGATTTAATAACTCATATATTTATAATTTTAATATATATATAGATGATCCTGTTGACAAATCAGATAATAATCCTTAATGAAAAGTAAAATTAAGTTATGTTTGATGTTAACTAAATTTAGAGATTTACATAAGAGTTTTATAAAGTTTAATATTAGATATATTTTTAACAATTAAAGGGATTCTTATTATTATTAAATAATTAGAATTTAGGCTGAAAATCAATTTGCATTTTCATTTCTATTCTGTAATATATAAAAATATCAATCCACTAATCATGAAAGTATGTTCAGATAACAGATTTATATATAATCCATAATTTAATTGAAGTTGAAAAATTTCTTAATTAATAATAATATTTATTATTATATTAGAACATTATTTTCATGTTTTATTAATTATAATAAAACATTAAGATTTATCACAATCTTTAAATCAACAATGAAAATATATAAATATTTGATTTTTAGGAACATTCTATTTTATTTTCCTCTCAAATAGTTTATATTCAATAAATATTTATCATTTTATAAAAGTAACTCTATTGATATTCAATATCATTAGATAATGAATGTTAATATAATTTATTTTATCTGTTTGTTATAGAATAAGTTGGGTAATTAGTTTAAAGACAGATATTCATGATTAGATCAATAATAGAATGGGTTTAAGTTGAGTATTGGATTGTAAATTAATTAATCCATTACATACTTAAACTTGGATTTTCAAATAAATTAAAATAATTATGGAATAATAAAAAGCACCAATAATATCTTTAGAAGCTAAGGTATCTGCAATTGAATGTCCAGCCTTCAATTTATTAGATGAAAAAAGCAAGCATTATGCCTACTATTTCACAAGAGCTTGTTGGGCAGGTGCAAAGATTTGTTATTTTTAAAGATCATATGAAGCGCCAGGATTATTTTATTTGTTGTAAAAGATATTTTAGAAAGAATCAGTATGAATAATTTATATTATCTAGACAACAGAAGTAAGGGACAAATTATTGTAGAATGAATTCACAGAAAATTAGGTTTAATAATTATATACTTATATCTCTGCATTTTTCTAAAATTGTGGAAATTATCTTAGTTTTGGTGATTCAAAGTTTATTCCTGAATTGCCTTAAGAAAAATTTCTATAATTCTTGTAATTAACAAAGGCATATTCAGAATAATAGGAAGATTTTACAAAAATATGGAATTTAATAGAAAAGTATATTTATTCATATGAGAAACCTTATGGATTATTGGATTTATTAGAGAAAGGAGGATCTAATTCTTATTATTCTCCAAATTTAAGTAAGGAATTGATAGAAGAATTGGATTAATTTTTACATAAACAAAACTTAAGTGAATTAAATACAAGAGTAATTTTGAATGGAGATAGATTGGAATTATTGGTAGCATCATCAGAGAGATCAGATATCGTAGAATTAGGTGAAATTTAAGGTAAGAAAGTAGTTGCTGTTTATGGTGATTTTAAATCTTTTTTAAATGGTGTGGCCACTAATTTAAGAGAAGCATAAAAATATGCTGCCAATGATACTTAAGTTAAAATGTTAGAGGAATATATTAAACACTTTTAAAGTGGAGATATTGAATAACATAAAGAAAGTTAAAAATTATGGATATAAGATAAAGGACCAATTATTGAAACCAATATTGGTTTTATTGAAACATATTTAGATCCAATGAAAGTGAGAGCAGAATATGAAGGATTTGTATCAATTGTGAATTAAGAAGAATCAAAATTACTTGGAAATTTAGTTGAGAAGGCAGAAGATATAATTAAAGATTTACCTTGGCCTAAGGAATTTGAAATTGAAAAGTTTAGTAGACCTGACTTTACATCATTAGAAATATTGGCATTTGCTTGTTCTGGTACACCAGTTGGCATTAATATACCAAATTATGATGATATTAGATAAAATTTAGGATTTAAAAATGTCAATTTAGGCAATGTTTATGGTAAACCAAATAGGGATTCTGTTAGATTCTTATAAGGAACAGATATAGATTTATTCATTAAGTATTATAAAGAATCTTTGTTTGTTGTTGTTGCATTACATGAATTGATTGGACATGGAAGTGGTAAGATATTTATGGAAGATAAAGAAGGAAAATTGAATTTTGAAAATGTCATAAATCCATTTACAAATGAAAAAGTAACAACATTTTATAAACCAAATGAACATTGGCATGCTAAATTTGGAGAATTATCAGGTGCTTATGAAGAATGTAGAGCAGATAGTGTAGCCTTATATCTTAGTACCTATGATGATGTAGTTTAAATTCTAGTACCTTGTAAAACTAAAGAAGAAAGAGATGAAATTGTAAAAGCTGCTTGGCTTGATATCATTATGGGAGCATTAAAAGGACTTCAATATTATTCAGCTGAATAATCAAAATGGGGATAACCACATATTTTAGCTTCATATGTGATTCTGTAATCAATTATATAAAAGGATCCATCTTTTGTTTAATTTATCCATTCAGAATTCAATAATAAACCATATTTTACTGTTTAAGTAGATTATAATAAAATTTGGACAGTTGGCAAAGAAGCCATTGCTGACCTTTTAAAAGGCTTATAAGTATATAAATCAGTAGCTGATGGTGAAAATGGTATGAAATTCTTCAATAAATTCACTTAAGTTGATCAATAATTCCTTTAACTTAGGGAAATTGTTTTGTAATAAATATTGATTTATATTAAGAGCTCATAAACAACCAAGAAAGATTGAATTATAACCAGATGTCAAATTAAATAATGGATAAATAGAATTAGTAGTATTTCCAGAATCACATGAAGGTGTTATTCAATCACATAGTATATTTATTAATTTAATATATAGTATTCCATTATTAGAATGATGTTGAAGATGTTAAACAAGAGTTTTTAGATAGATAATAATATTTTAAGAATTGAAGTTTCATAATATTTATTAAATGAATTAATAAAATAAGAGAAAGTTCAATGTTCTTGAATACCTAAAAAATCCATATCATTTGCCATAAAAATAAGAAAAATTCGAAATTCCTCAAACATGTAAACTCGGCTCAAGGACTAATCAAAGAAGATTCTATAGACCATATAAACATAAGACTCTCTTTCCAGAATTAAATAGTACCAACGCTCTTTATTTGACCAAAACTAGCTAAAAATTTAGATAATCAAGAAAGGATTGGCAAGATGAATTATAGACATGTCTTTAAAGTTAATCAGTAATTATATAAATCTTATATTATAGATAAGAGGTGTCCCAAATAAAAGTAAAGTCTCATAGATATTTGTGAAATCCTTACATAATTCTTCATTTAATTAATTACTTAGGAAAACATAACCAGAATTAAAGCCATTATTGGAAATATAAGCCCAAAAATTATTTTGATAAAATCTATTTTTACTATATAAAAGATTATACAAAAAATCATTTCTTAACAATTCTATATTTAATATGAATGCATATAATTATTCAATGAAAACTCATGAAATTTTTATACCATTTAATATTTTTATTAAAGCCATGGTTTCATCATAAATATCATCCTAATCTACATTTTCTTATATGAATTTGTTAATGTGTACCCTTATTGGTTGCAAAATTTATACATCAATTTTACTAATTAGATTATAATTTTTTTGATTCTTTATTTTTGCAAAATATTTCTTATTTTAAATAATAGGTTCTTGAATATCATAATCTTGAATATCATAATCTTGAATATCAACATCATCATTTTGATTATAAATATTTTTTAAATCACAATTTTCTATAGTGAAATCCTACTTATCAGAATCATTGCTCTCACAAAAGTAAATGCCTTACTAGAGGTTTTAATTTAAGATATTAAAAATTTTGATTATTAATTCTTGGTTCTCGCAAGTTTCAATTAAGAAAATTTTGTATAAGGGATAAAAATTAGGAAAATTCCCAACAAAATTTGTCAGATTTTTTATGTCTAATTGTGTATCTTAATTTGTATTAATAGAAGTTTGTAGTCTATTAGCATTTTACTAATCCATAGAATATAATTATTTTATAATAAATAATATCTTTTAAATGATATAATTATATATATATATATCATAAATCATGTTTATTAA